TGACCTGCGACCTTGAGTAAAGCACATCAACTTGTTTGAGGATCAATTTCCACATCAGTACTAGAGGGATGACTGCTGTAAGGATCAAATGAGATGAGCGTGTCAGAGTACCTTGCAAACTACATAATGAGAAGTTTTTTGCTCTAATAATTAGTCTTCCCAGATACACAAGGTCCTTGCCTTCAAACACCTAACGCCTACATTCAGAGAGCTCGAATGGAAGTCAGAAGGTCATCCTTAGTTAGAAACCAACAAAGACAAGATTACTCCAATAAAATACAAGGAATGTGTGTTATCGGATCACATTGTCCATTACGGACCCAACTACAAAGCAAGACAATAAAGGAAACACCAAAAGGGTGAGTTGTGTATATCCAAAGGGTGACAGATATTCTGCCTTGTGATGGTGAGCAAAGGCAATGACATATAAGAATGGGGACAGCAGGACTATGATAAAAGTCTAACCATTTGTCGGGGATCATTAACAAACCTGCAGAGAAGTATCATGATTCCCAAGAATATTCTAGTTAGGGAAGAATGTGAAGAAGTTGACAGGAAACCACAAAATTACTCAAATTCATAAAAGAAAGCTCTAATGGCGGAGGGAGAGTCAAAAAACTACACATACATAATACAAGCTTAAAGAAAGCCAAAGAGAATACAGTCATAAAGAGAAGCACGACAGAGTTTACCTTCACAGGTCTCAGTTCTGACTGCATTTCTTATATTTCAGGACAATAGCAGAGAAGATTCATATGATTGGGGTAAGAAGGACTGTGACATTTACTGGGTCTTGCTGTGTGTCAGACACTTTGCTAGGTGCTTCACATTGCTTATTCAATTCTGGCAATACACCTCATGAAGCAGGTATTTCTACACCCATTTTACGGATAATAAAACTAAGTTTCCGAGAGGTCCCACAGCCCAAGCTCTGTGTAGATTCAGGGAACTGAGTATATCACTAAATGATTAAATATTAGAGAGTTTCCCTGGAGGATGGCTCTCGTAAGGTTTCCATAAGGCCAGCTCTCCACAAGTCGAGAGAATCATGTAAACTGAGTACCTGATAGAATGGCTTCTCTTAAGAAAGGAACTGGTTGAAGCAGCCAGTTGGAACTGGCCAGAACCCAAGGTGATGAAACAGTCATTAAAGGCAGGGATTGAGAAGGCAACAAGTCCAGTCTGAATGTCAGGTCCAAGGAATACAATGCTGAATGATGAAAGTGCCTCTCAAGCGGAGAATGAAATCCACAACTTGAAAGAAGAAGCTACATTAACAGAAGAGCCAGCAAGAGTTGCCAGAAAGTATTAAAGGGATGATGTGTGTTAGGTAGAGGCTGAAAATGATAGATACTTGAAGGGAATAATACACTATTGAGAATGACGGATTGTATGACCTGAACTAAACACTAGGAAAAAGTGGAGTCCCCAGACACCACCTGTTAGCATTTTACCTGTTTCTGCCCAAAGCAATTGCTGGCTCTAATTTATAAATCAAGGAGAAGCATCAATCAGTAAGACATGGCATGAATACAAAGAGGCCATTAATGGTTTCAGCAAGTTCATCATCTAGTCAGTGAAAGAATGAGATAGCATAACTGATATAAAACCCCTACAGACTATAGGGGCCGAAACAGCAATTCTTGATGAAGTCATCTAGCAGAAAAAAAGAGTCAAATCAACATGAAGATAGATGAGTTAAAAAAAACAAACCAAAACAAAACCAGAAGCATAATGCCAAATTGAAGTACTGTCATGTAAAACACTGTATGTGTTTGATTATAATGATGTAAAAACATGCAGTCAGTGAGAAGATAGTTGTAGAAAAAAGATTCTAAGATTTTTGGAGCCCAGCACCCTTGGGAGATAGAAATTAGCTTCTCTCCAGGTGACAATTAACAAATGTCAAAGATAGGCTTTTCTCCAAATGGTATGATTATAGAAAATTTTCAAGACATTTTTAATGTTCTCATGTAGAATTTTCAATTAAAAATTAGGGCAAGAAACTCATTGATATATCCTAAATTATCTGGACTAAATGGATATAAAAAGTCATGGGTGACTGTTAGAGACAGCAACAAATGACCAACAAGGACAGCATATTAGTAACTTACCATGTGACTGCTCTGGCCACCATGGGGTCTCCAGAGAACCCCCTCTCTTTTCCCTTATTTTTCTTTATGGCATGAACCATGCCTGACACCCCATATATTTCACTTGATTATCTGTTTATTGGTCAGCACTACAGCATAAGTACGATGAGGAGAGAGACTGTCTTCTGTTCACTCCCGATCCCCAATGTTCTGGGAAAGTCCATGGCACATAGGCATTCACTATATTGTTTTTTTGTTTGCTTTTATATTGGAAAATATAGTTCATTTAGAAAATAAATTAGAGAGACAGAGAGAGATTTACCTCCCCATGGTAAGGTCAGAGCCAAAGCCAGGAAACATGACATAGCTCAAAAAGCCATGTTGACACACCAGTGTTTAACAAAGCAATGGTGGAGAGGGAGAGAGAGAGAGAGAGAGAGAGAGAGAGAGAAAGGAAATTCACTTCCCCAAGGTAGAGGACAGGGTCAAAGTTAGGAAACATGGTGGCCATAGCTCAAAGAGCCACATCGACACATCAGAGTTTAACAAAGCAATGTTGAATAGAGAGAGAGAGAGAGAGAGAGAGAGAGATGAGGTTCACCTCCCCAAGGTACAGGAGCGGGGGCCAAAGCTAGGAAAAATGGCAGCCATAAGCTTAGCAATATATTTGTTAAATGAATGAATAAATATATACCAAGTTGTGTTATTGATGAGCTCAACTCAGAAACAGGTTTAAGTAAAGACTGTACCTCCTGAGAAGTATTTTCAAAGACCAGAAGGACTAGGATAGGGTTGAGCGGTTATCCTAAACTATCCTGGTCAGGGTTTAGCAGGAAAACCCAATCCACCCATTGGCCCAATATGAGAAGATAGGCGTGTTGAAGTATCTGTTTCTTCTCAGTCAACTTTTCAATATGTAAAAGCTCTACTACTATAAAATACTAAGATGGAAAATCTATTTTGGTACAACCTTCAAAAGCCCTCATGAGAAATGTCAACGATCTGCAAGGCCAACATGAACAATGGATGCAGCAATGAAATCGCAAAGGAGGGGCTTGACCTGCAGGTTACAAGGAGCCTAAAGTTTCCCCCAACTCAGAAGGAAAAAGTACCTGGCCTACTTTTATTAACGGGAAACATGTGACCTCAGTCATACAAAAAACAAAAGCTATTGTTTGGAACCACAGGCCAAGTGTGGGACTTTGGTTGTGATGAGCAACACAGCAGCCTTGTGGTTCTGTTCATGATGCTACACATCTGGTTGACCAAAGAAGACTTACCTGAAAATGAGGTATCACTCAACTGAAGCAAAACATGTGTGTGTGTGTGTGTGTGTGTGTGTGTGTGTGTGTGTGTGTATGTACATATAGGTATAGGAAATCACCGAGGATTTATAGTGAAGAGCAATCAGTTGCCAACCTGGCCAGCCACATCCCATGAGTCAAGTCATGGATCAGGTCTGTGTTTATACCATGCCTGCAAATTGTAGTTATTTTAGGGAACGCTCAGGCTCTGCTCCCGGAAGATGCACCAGTATGTGAAAATGAGAATGCAAACTGGACCTCGAGAAGCAACTATAAAATTTATGCCAAACAGGCAAACTGAAACCAAACGTATTTTCTGACTCACCCCAATTACGTAAACAACTGCCTATCAAGTAAACAGCAAATGCATTAGAATCTTTCCTTCTTTTTGCGAAGACCCACCTCTCACAACTCCACTGGTAGAGACTCTTGGGGTGGGTGTGGGGGTTCAGAATGGGGGCCCCAGCACCAGCTCTGAGCTGAGTAAATGCTGCTTGGTGACGAGTCCAAAGCTTTAGAACAAAGAGTGCTTCTGCCACCCCCAAAACACCTAGATGTCGTCCAGAGCTACACAGCAAAAACCAACGTCTTTCACAGGGCTGAGAAGGCCTTGCCTGGTCAGTTCCCTCACCTTGCAGCAAATCTTCTCTTGTTCCCTGTCCCCAAGCTACTCTGGCCTTCTGGAACATGACCTGCTTCCTCTACCCATAAGCCCCTTGCATATGCAGTTTTCTCTGACTCCGATGTTCTCCCTCCCACCCCTTCCCCAGTTAAACCTCAACTGGAGAGTTTTCCTAAGGGCAATTCTTTCTACCACATGACCCTACAGCACCACAGAACCCTCCTTCCGGGTGATGGTCTCACTCATGAGTTTGCATTTATCTGTGAGATATCGGGGTATGTGTTGGCCTCCCTCGCTAGACAGAGGTGTCCTGAGGAAGGGGCATCTCTCTTGTTGCTTCTCAATGTATCCTAGAACTTAGTCCGGTTCTGGGTGTATATAGGTCATTCTTAAGCATCTGGGGAAGAAAGGAGAGAAGGAATGAATGAATGAGTTTAACTCACCTATTCAGAGTTCTGGCATGGAGTAGGAAAGTGTTCGACATTTAAGAAGAGAGGTCAGACGAGAGACAGATCCGCAAAGGAAAACCACTGAGGGGAGTGCTAACTATAGCACAGGTAAACAGAACCAAAGCGTATTTATCCTTTTACCTTCCTCGGTGCCTAAGTATGGCCTTTGCCACTGCTGTTGAAAGTGTGTATTTCCTAGTTCTGTCTGTGGTTGCATCTTCCTACGCCCCTTCTCTGTTTTTAAGTGCCTTGCTCTCTGCCTCTCTCCCCTCTGGTAGTGCTTACTATTTTATTTGGTTTTTGTTTCAGTCCTAATTGTCTTTCCCACCTAGAATCTCACATCCTTCAGGTCAAGCCATTTTCTCATTTTCTCTGTGGTTAAAAGTTACTTAGAATTTCTCACAGAATGATGTAAGTTTATCACATTTTATTTTTCATTTTGAAAGAGGGTTCCGTTGACATTATACCATTCTATCAAAAAATAGGCCACACAGAAGAAACAAAATTCTGATGAGAGCATTCTAGTACCTACCAAGGCACTGTCCGTTCCATCCTCGGAATCCTTCTGTGCAGGGAACACACTGGTAAGACCCGGGGGAATTTACACACTGCTCATTTGGGCAGGTACTTGGGGTCGAGCATTCATCGATATCTGAAAAACCACAAAGCTAGGTCATGAATATTTTACCAGAATACCAAAGCGAAATCTTCCTTCTACCATGAAGCGAGGGGAAAACATGTTTATCTTCACTTCAGTGGGGTAGACAGTAACTGGGTAGTGAGATATTGGGGGTCTACAATCAGACACAGGACAAGAATGCATGGTGTCAGGTATACCCAGGTGAAGATATTTACACATATTCCAAGGAAGAGCATGGTCCAACTCTTCAACTGGGAGTTGGCGGCTCCTCTAGGGCTGCTTTCTGGACATCAATTCTTTCAAGTCATTGCACAATTTGCCAGAAAGAAGCACCAGGAATAGGGATGAGTGTGAAGAAACCATCTGTCCACCCAAGCTGGAGGGTCTCTCTACAGACACTGGATTTCTTAACTATTTATTTATTTTTTTGAGTTGGAGTCACTCAATCTGCCAGGCTGGAGTGCAAGGGCATGCTCATGGCCACCAAAGCCTTGACCTGCTGGGCTCTGGCGATCCTTCCACCTCAGCCTTCCAAGTAGCCGGAACTACAGGTACATGCTACTGTGCCCAGTTAATTTTTTTATTTATTGTAGAGATGAGGTCTTGCCAAGTTGCCCGGGCTGGTCTCAAACCCATGGGCTCAGGCAATCCACTCGCCTCAGTCTCCCAAAGTGCTGGGATGACAGGCTGAGCCACCAAGCCCAGTCCAGACACTGGACTTCTAGGGAAAGCCTCACTTTGGCCTCATGGGCCCAAGAACATCCTAGGTACAAATAATTTCAAACGTTTTGTATGACAGGAACCCCTTGGAGGTGGAAAAAGAACATTAGGAGAGAGTGAACTCATCATATATCTCCAACACTTTCTGGTAAACATGGTGATGTGACCCTACAGTAATATCTGCTGGTAAAAAGACGCCTCATGGTGGGCATTCACAGCTAACTGAAGTTATTGATCATCATTTTTCTCAATCTGGGAAGAAAAAAAAACCACCTAAATATGATTTGGATCGTGGCAGATAATGACTACAGCAGCTTTAGGCATTTTAAAGAATTGCAAAAACAAAATGGGGGAAAAGTAAGGTAAAGGAGAGAGTTCAACAGTTTAAAACACTGAATAGTAATGCCCTACATAAGACCCATTGCTTTTCTGGAGGTGAATTCTGAATTCCAGCAAGTGGATTTGATGTTTGATACCCAAATACAAAATGCATATAGACCCTTTAATCATACTTAATATATAAACAGGTTTTCAGGCATACACTAAAAAGTAAAAGAAATAGATAACAGGCACACTAAACACCCACGAGTATTCAATGCCAACATTCTGGTAAATACTTAAAAATTATCTCCCATCCCATTCCACTAGACAGGCATAGAAACGATGCTTAAAGTGAAAAAATTGAAGATCATATCAACAAAATAAGCACCAGTCGGTGTTGTCATTTTTTTTTCCATCAGTAAAAGATTCTTGCCAACAGACAATGACACACAGTGGTTTTACTAGGTCAGATGTTCTGGGACTTCTTGTTCTACAAAAAGATAATGCTTGCCAGTTTCATTTTCCAAACAGCACTCCATTCTCCTCTGAATGTTTTTTGCTTTTTTTTCCTTAATAGATATACAACTGCTAAATTGGAGGATGTCATTTAGACAGGCTGGTCCAACCAATAAGGTGCCATGTTGAGCCACACAAGGCAACATTCTGGGTTCTGGCAGCCCCAGACTTCCATCTGCTTCTGTCTTCATCTGTAAATTAGGTGCTACCTGTCTTGGAACACCTTCGCAGAACAAAGGCAGGGTGAATGAGATAATGTCTGTAAAGTACAATAGCCTCCTTGGAGACTGGTGCTATTTGAAAGCAACTTTGTTAGGGACAGCTGAGAAAATCTTCCCTGAGCCAGGAGCCCGGGGACGTTTGGTTCTGGGCCACAGTGACATTAGGAAATAGCCACATTGCTTGGCTCTCTTTTTTAGCCTTTTCATGGGGACAGAATTATATCATTTACTCAGGGAATGTTTCTGCTAAATACTTTCCATAGATTGTTACTGAAAATTCGCCTATCAGCTTTCAATTTAATTACATAATTTTCAAACGTCTCCGCCTTTTCATCCTTGTTTCTTGAATATCATCTCTCCTCATTCTGGGGCTGTCTGTAGAACTCAAGGATCAGTTCTGTACATAAATGCTTGTCAATTACATTCAACTCCTCTTTTTCCGTAAGGGCTCCCCACAACTACAGAGGTACTGGGAAATCTACAAAACACAAAAGGAGTCGGAGAAGGGAGAGATTGAAGGAGACTAAAACTTTCCGAAAACTAACGAGATGACATGCCTCTACGAGATACTTATTTTCATGACACTCCTGAGGGTTAACTTCATGGCTCCCATTTTCAGGTCACGCACTAAGTTTCAAAGATGCCAAGTAACTGCTGCAGGTCAAGTGGTCACTAAGTGCAGGGTGGCCAGCTGATTCCACAGTCCTGGCTCTTACCTACTCCCATCGCCTCTCTATAGCAGAGTGTACCATGGAAGAGGTGGGTGGGAACACCTTATACCGGTGCTTGTCCCACAGCTCCTTGGCCATCTGGGGAGGGGTCATGGCTCTGTTCTGATCCAATTTCATCAGAGATCCAGTGCCATGAAACACACCTGCTCTCTCTACATTAGTACCGGAGGGGCCTAGACAAAAGGGTGGCAGGGGAGGCAAGTGTCAGCTGCCAAGACACATCTAATTAGCTCTCCCTCCAAGCCTGGGTCATTAGAGCTGAGAAGAAAGCTGACAAGCGCAAGCCAAGGGCTCTCCCTCCCTAGCTCTAGAGAAGACCCGCTGTAAGGCTAGAGGCTGGTCCTTGGGCAGCCGGGTAGGGAACCCCAAAGAACCAACACCACACTCATGTCCAGGACCCTCAAACCCCCACCCAGAGGATCCTGGGTGCTTTTGCCCTGATGCTTCCATGGGGGCTTTTCAGCAGAAGAGCAAACTCTCTCCTCCTGAAAATAATTGCCAAAAAGTACCACGGTGGATTCAAAAAAGACCATGCAACTTGGACACAAATATGAACAGAAATCTGAAAAGGATGATCATTCTGACCATGCTATAAATATTTCTGAAAACACTGTTATAATGAGAGTGAACTCATTGCTGTGGTCAGTAAGGAGGAAGTTTTATCCAGTACAGTTGGAATGTGACCTGGAGTTGGTCAGCCTTCTGCAGAGAGTCGGCAAGAAAGTCCCGGAGCGCATGTTAGGGGGAAAAAAAAAAGCAGCTGAGACAAAGGAATGCAACAAGGTGAAAAGGTCAAAAACAAAAAACCAGCACCAGTTACACCTGCACCGTGTTCCCAGATGAAGAACCCAGACGCTGTAATTCAGTCTGGGTTTGTGCAAAGATACTAGCAATTAATTGTTCCAAAGTGATTTCACCCCAAACACCAGGGCAGACAGATGCAGAGGGAAAAGTCATGAGAACGGGACGAAGGAAAATAATCCAGACAGAGCCCTGGAGGGAGGCAGAGGCTGAGACTCCAGGAGGCAGCGAGAGCTCAGAAGAGCTGGTGTCACGCAGGGTGTGGAAGAAGCGAGGACCGGATAAGGCGCCTGCCGGCCCTGGGGCCTGACCCAGCCCTGAGGGTCATGGTCAAGCAGGCTCAGCACTCACAGGAGGCACAGGGTCCTCGTTCTCTGGGCACTCACCCTCGCAACGGCCCCTCCGGGTCATGCGGTACCCACTGTCGCAGTATTCACACCGGAAGGCGCCCATGGTGTTGACGCAGTGCCCTTCCCCGCACACATCTGGCCTCAGGCACTCGTCAACATCTATGCAAAGCAGAAAACACGGTTGAGTTTTGGCTTCCAGAATATCATTTCAACCCTCTCCCATCGCCCCAGTTAGTTCAAATCTAGCCCTTTGCACTCGGATGTCCCCTCTGAGGAGACACCATACATCTAGCAGACCACTGGGATGTCCCCTCTCAGGGCACATAAACAGACTGCTGGTGATTATCCACGACAAACTTATGCCAGATTTTTCAAAAATGTATGTTTCCCTTAAGTTTTCCATTCGAATTGCATGAAAAAGCAAAGAAAGTGATGGAATCTATACTGACATATGATCGATCAGTTGAAAGTGGTTTTCAGGAATCATGTTTGTGTCCTTCCACATCGTCTTTGAGCAACAGACTGGAGAACAAATTACATATTATTAATGTGGGACGAAGAAAATAAGACTGCACTGTCTGCTCAGATAAAACACCAGGTGGAAGACATCATACAAATTCTTATTGCACAATATGGATCAGTGAACCTGCAATGTGTGTCGGTGACTGTTTCACACGGTACCACACGTTTGAAAAATATAGTTTGATGTTTTTGTCATAAATAAGTTCCTCGATGTCCAAAATTCCATTATAAGCCAAATATCATTGCAATAAAATAATTGGTTCCAACACTATACTCTATTTCATAAAAAAAAAAAGTGCAGTTGAGTTGCTGGTCGGTGACTCGTGAGATGTCCTCAAGTGCGAAGGGTTAATAATGAAAAAACTGGTTTCTGCAACCATCTCTCTGCTCTGCTGGACATACATCAAAATCACATGGTTTTGATTCATGTGGCATGGATCCAGAAGCTACATCTAACATCCCTTGTCTTTGCATACATTTGACACTCTTTCTTCAAAATCATTAGAGGAAAAGTATCCCCTTTTTATAAATCACCCAGGATCTAGCAGATTGCTGCGTCATGACAGCTGTCGAAATAAAAATTCTGGGATGTCCGAAGAAGTACTGAATGATGGCATCTCAAGGATCTAAAACCCAGATCTGGGAATGCAAACATCAGGAGAACACGGCCATTACCTATGCAGTCAGTACCGTCCTCGCTGGCCATAAACCCTGCTGGGCAAATACACAAAAAGCTTCCCTCAGTGTTTTCACAGCGTCCCTGGGAGCAGAGGTGGTGGACTTGCACACATTCGTCAATATCTGTTAACAAAAACATAAACAAAAAGATGAACCACATGAAGCCAGCACTGTCTCCCTGTTCTGCAAATTGTCCTCGTGCCCTTCCCTGGCTTCCACCAGACTCGGTAACTGGAAAATAGTAAAAGGAGACACACTCTTTCTCCTCAAATACTTGAAGGATTGTTCCCGGAAGAGGAAAGCAGCGTGAGGAGTACTGCTTCCAAGGCTCACGCTAAACACCCCTGACACTGTGGTTTCAAAGAGACGGATGTCGGGCCCACAAGGAGGACTCTCCTGACAACTGGCATCACCTAAGCCACGGGTCTTGCAACCAAGAACTCCGAGGTGCCGTGAAAGAGACTCCCACAGCACCACCGCCTTTTCCATGGGATGTTTTAGGTTCTAAATGCGATCCATACGATGGATGCAAATAACAGGGAAATAGCCCAATTACGAGGCAGGTGGAGCATCTTTCCTCCTCATGCCTACACACCAAAAAGCAAAACCCACATATAATAAAGTAATATTGATTAGATATGTGCCTTTGTTACTTTATATAGACCTTATAGCTTAGTGATAAATTTTCTTCTCCTAAAAATTAAATTTAAAGTTACATTAAAATGATTTATTTGACTCTATTACACCTCTTTCTGAGATACATTTTTTCCCCAAAGAAACCTATGTGAGATCTCTAAATTTCTAAATTCATTGATAAACTCATGCCATATATACATATATGGAATTTCAATGTAGAAACTCCTTTCAGAAATCCAATGCTATGTATTCAGATGGAGGTCATTATTTACTGCAGCATACATTACTCAGGTTAATTGGAGTTTGTGAAATACACGTCTGTAGGTAGCGATTTCTAGAACTCTTATTTTGTTTACCTTATCTGGGAAATTATCTCACCTTGTAAATGTATTTGGTGAGGTAGGACACACTGGAGAAAGTAGTAAGAGAAGCTTTGCAGTTTAGCAAATCTGTTTTTGAGTTCCCTTAGCTGAGAGACAACCATTTTCAAAATGTAAACACGGTAGCAGTTCCCCAAAACGATTAAACTAGGAAAAAACGCTCTCAATGTGCATGTGTTCGCTATTCACCAGTTTGACAAGCCAACGTCTCTTACCAACACACTTCCGCTGTTGCTCGCTGAACTTGTACCCGTCATAGCATATACAAGTGTACCTCACCGGAAGGTTGATGCAATGTCCTGCTCCACAGATGTCAGGGTTCACCGTGCATTCATTGATTTCTTTAAAAGCAAACAAAACCATGTGAGAAAAAAAAAAAAAAACTCACAGAAGTAAACAAAGACTTCACTGCTACTTGCAAAGCACTGCTTTATGTTTTCTGACTCGTAGCAAGGAATGACCAGGGATGCACTTGGAAGTTGAAGGGTGACTCTGACACCAAGTACACATTCATATGCCTACTTTATAATTGATTAGTTACTCCTCACTCAAGGTCATCAATAGTGCTGAATGAGATCATTTTTAAGATAAACTAGAGTAGAAACTCAGAAAGAGGACATGTTGAAAGTTGTAAGAAAATCTATTCTTCTTTTTCTTTTTTTTCCTTTTTTTTTGAGACAGGGTCTCACCCTGTACCCCAGGCTAGAGTGTGATGGCACGATCATAGCTCACTGCAGCCTCAAACTCCTGGGGCTCACGTGATCCTCCTGCCTCAGCCTCCTGAGTGGGTGGGACTACATGTGTGTACCACCACCATGCCTAGCTAATTTTTTTTTTTTTTTTTTTGAGGCAGGGTCTCAGTCTATCACTCAGACTTGTCTCGAACTCCTGACCTCGGAGGTCTCCTCACCTCAGCCTCCCAAAGTGCTGGGATTATAGGCATGAGCTACTGTTCCTGGTTCAGAAAATAAATTCTTAATAAAACAGCTTCCAAAATGACCTATCAATGAGTTCCTATTCTCTCTAGTTCATCTTAGATGATGGAGTTTGACTCATCATGTGCTTTCTCCTGATAAGAAACACATAGTGATTTTCCACTCATTAGCAGACCATATTTGAGTTCCAACAAATACATCCAACTGCCTCCAAAATTTCTCATTAAGCCCCAAGAAAGACCTCCCACTTCCTAACCAAAGCAAAACTTCTAGGCATATCTGACTCTTATTTCGCCAATTCCAATATGAGCATATTTTGTTACTAGTGGTAAAGCAGAAGTTTCTTCCAAAACTTCTCTGCTAAATCCCATCCCTCCCCCCCTTACTCTCCTACTGATCCTCACGTAAGGCTCTGACTTCTATAAAAGCTTGTACAGCTCAGCCCCGTTTAAGTCCTCGGTCCACTTACCGACACACGCTATGGCAGAGGCAGGATCATAGGAGTCCATTCAAAAGGGGCTCAGGGTTTCCAAGTGGCCCTGAGATGGACTCCCCTAAGATTTTCTATTTTCAGTGGCCTTTGTTTAATGACACAGTAGGGGTGCCACAGCTATACTGGCTTGGAGATAGCACAGGTTCAGACCTGCTGTTCATTACAGCTCTGTACCATGGAGCAAGTTACTAGAACACTAGACCATTCTAAGCAACATTTTTCTACATGAATGAAATGGAAATAATCAGAGTTCCAACTTCAGAGTATGACACTGAAGGAGATCACCTCATTAGCACATGTAGGCCAAGGCCTGACCCATGAAATGTATAAAAGTCAGCCATTATTAACATCCTTCCTGTTGTTCATATGGAAGTCATTCAAGAATATATTTAAAAAGCAGCATATTTTCCAGGTGTGGTGGTTCATGCCTGTAATTCCGGCACTTAGGGAGGCCAAGGCAAGAGGATTGCTTGAATCCAAGAGTTTGAGATCAGCCTGGGCAACATAGCGAGACCTCGTCTCTGCAAAAAATCAAAAAATTATCTGGGCATGGTGTTGTGCACCTGTAGTCCCAGTTACTTAGGAGGCTGAGGCAGAAGGATCACCTGAGCCCAGGAGGTTAAGGCTGCGGTGAGTCATGATAGGGCCACTGTATTCCAGTGGCGATAGGGTCACTGTATTCCAGTGGCCCAATCAATCGATCCATCAATACAGCACATTTATTCCAATATTACCTTGGGTTATCGTCATCATATAGTAAACAAGGCTCAAAAGAGATGGTGTCAGGGATGAGGACAAGAAATTTCCAGGGTAAAGAAAAGACAACCTGATTAGAGGGGTCTACAAATTGAGTAAGAAAAAGAGGTGGACTTTGTCACAAGGAATAAACTCATTCTGCAGAAAAAGGATGTGAGAAACCACTTTTTCACAAATGACCTCAATTGGGCTGAGGGTGCTCTCCAAAACCAAAACCAAAATCAAATTCTTAATTTTTTTTTTTTTTTTTTGAGATGGAGTCTCAATCTGTTGCCCCGGCTGGAGTACAATGGCACACTCACAGCCACCCCCGTATCAACCTGCTGGGCTCCGGCAATCCTTCCATCTCCGCCTTCCAAGGAGCCAGAACTACAGGTGCACACTACCATGCCCAGCTAATTTTTTATTTATTGTAGAGACGAGGTCTCGCCAAGTTTCCTGGGCTGGTCTTGAACCCGCAGGGTCAGGCAATCCGCTCCCCTCAGCCTCCCAAAGTGCTGGAATTACAGACTGACCCACCAAGCCTGGCCACATTCTTCATTTTTCATAAAGTGTTTACCGTGTGTTTAAAGTGTGGTGACTTTAAGACTCTACATGCAAGTCACCTGAAGAAGGAAGCAGATGAACTACAGCATTTGACACAAAATCACTGGGATGTGTGAGAAATGCCTGCAGGACCAGGCAGTTACAAGTGATTGACACCTTTTATAAGTCTACTTATGTGAATTCATTTTCAGAAAAGTGAAAGTGTTTGCAGTCATTATATTACTAAATTATAGAAAAAATAATTCAGAAGGCTAAAAACATGAGCACAATTGCTTAAACTTCAGTGACTGGCAATAATAAAATGATGAATTATGAAACACATATAGCATAGGATGTTATATTATCATAAAGAGAATATGGACATGTTTATTTGTTAAAAAATACAGTTGGGTACAAATTGTAATATAGGAGTATACTGTGACACACACAAAAAAGGTTGGAAGTAAATATATCTCAGTTTTACAGCAATGAGGACTGGTGTTTTCTTCTTCATACTTTTCTGCATTTTCCAAAATTTCTACAGTGAGTACATATTAGTACTTTCATAATCAGAAAAGTATTCCTTTAAAAATATCATGTCTATGTACAAATATCTGAAGATAGAAGGTAGTCTTCACTAGATTATACTCGTGAAGCCTCAGGCAAGAATTATCTTCTGTGTTTAAAGGAATTTACTAGTGAAATCATGTGGCAGACATCTCTAACCATCTATTCTACGTTATAGGTAGATGCTCCCTTTGAAAACTACTAGTTTTCAAATTTCTTGGTTTTCTTCGTAGTTTTTGACCTTTCTTTATACTCATCTCCGTCATTTTTGTAAAAAAATATAGACATGTTGACCATATTTGCAAAATGAAAATGAATTAATTGGAAGAGGAATTCATATACTCAGAACAAGTTAAAAGGCTATAAACCTAGAGTTTTCATGAAATGATTGATCAAAGAGTCCCTGCCCCTCTTCCACAGAACCAATGAGTTGATAACTAAGTGTTTATTTATCATTTTGCAGGCATAGCTTTAGAATTAAACTTTACCAATGTGAACAAAAGTCTTCAAAAATGTGATACATAACTCAAACGTGATTCCCACGCCATGGTTTCCCAACACAATTATTTCTTTTCAAGTCAGCTCTAAGGTAGGAGAAACAGTTCAGAATTCCAGCTCAGTAGTCTACGGAAATGAACTGGATAATAATGGCCTTTTCTTCCAATCCAGAATCTTAAATAGAAGCTCTGAGGTTGGTGCTATTTTGATAAAGGCTGTTTGAGGATTTGTAGCTGATGACCTCATTGAGTCAGTGTATCGAGATGCCGTTTGCTCACAGGGTCACTGTCATATGTAAGAAAATGCTACTCTGACACCACTAGAGGGTACTAAGAGATATATCAAAGGAAAGAAGGGACCTTGGCTGAAACCAACTTGATTTCTATGCTGTTTGTCCTATTTGTATACAAGAAATTACAGCAGCTGTCATCAGTTTGGCCTGAGAAAGCCCTTCCATCCATGGGTTGGGCAGGACTCCCACTTGGTGGGGGGAGACAGCACAGAGTATGACACCTTCCAACACCTCTGCCTTTTTTTCTATTCACTGGTCATCAAAAAGTTAAATGTCCGCGTTTTCTTTTTTGGCTTTTTTGGGTTTTTTTAGGTAAAAACTAAATTACTAGTGTTCATATTTGGAAACTTTTAAAACACATCTCCTGCCATCCCTCCCTGGGCTTTCCCTCCTTTTCTATCAGGTTTTCATCTTGAGCACATGTATAGTCTACCAGCAGGTATATCCTGAAAATGTTACCTTGAAAAAGAATAGAAGTTTCCTGCATTTTCTGTTCTTTAGGGCAAAGCCATGATGTGTCACATTTTTTCTAAGTGGTCCCTCACACATAGGCATGCGAACCTGTTCACATAGGAACACGTACATCTTTGAGCAGACTGGGTCAAGATAAACTCTGGAAATACGACAGGGCAATGTCTCACACGACAGCACTGGCTCCTGGGGCCAGGAGCACGCTGTGAATGGGGCTGTCCTATCTTCCTCAGCAGGCTAAGCCTGTTCCCCACTGGACTCTCTCCTGTATCCTTCATAATCCTACCCACATGCTGCTTGGCTCACAGGACAGTGCCACCCTTCCTCACTACATGGGCCCCTGACATCACTTTGTCTTCACCGGGTCAAGGACCTTATTCTGCTGCTTTCGCTGGAATCCATCTAGAATTTGGAAAAAAGAGCCGTGACCAAGAGCCAATGGAAAACCAAATGCTCTGTGTATCCCAGCAACAAGGCCAACGGTGGATTTAACAGCTTGTTGTCTTCTTTACATTTTCTAAAGTTAAATGGAAAAGAAAGCTTCTGGCAAAATATGAACGTGAGTCCGCTGACCTTTAGCTTGTTTCTTCATCATGTGATTACATGGACCAATAATAAATAAACAAACAAATGGAGCCTGGAACTGTTAGAGCATGATGATCTTACATGGAAAGAAAAGAGTTCGTTTTCCATCAGCATACATAGTTTATTGAGGCTGTAATGACACTAGTAATATGCTTGAGGGACACGCGTGTTTGAAGGGGTCGATTCTGAGTTCTGGAAAAGATCTGATGTGCAAATAGT